AATGCAGATGAGCTGAAGGCCACTGTCAAAGAAACCTGGGCTTCCATACCACCTCAGCAGTGCCACAAACTGATCACCTCCATGCCACGCCGAATTGAGGCAGTAATTAAAGCAAAAGGAGCCCCTACCAAGTATTGAGGAAAGTATGTTCATTTACTCTACATGTACTCTACATTTACTCTACAAGTATTGAGTACATGTACAGTAAATGAACATACTTTCCAGAAGGCCAACAATTCACTAAAAATTTTTTTTTTATTGGTCTTATGAAGTATTCTAATTTGTTGAGATAGTGAATTGGTGGGTTTTTGTTAAATGTGAGCCAAAATCATCACAATTAAATACACGAGTTTCACAATTTGAGTTGAATTACTGAAATAAATGAACTTATCCACGACATTCTAATTTATTGAGATGCACCTGTATATTTTATTTTTAAGAAACATATAGAACATTTTGGACCAGTAAACATGTCAGGCTAAATAATTAGAATAAATAATAAAATGTGTCTTAATTAAATGCAGTCATTTAAGTGAGCCTAACCTGCAGCTCAACAATAATCAGAACATAAATAAATTATTTTCTGTAAAAAAAAAAAAAAATCCCTATAAATGAAAAACAAAAAATACAGTCACTTAAGTGAGCCTAAACATGCAGCTCAATAATCAAAAATATAATCAAAACATAATTTCTGCAAAAACAAAAATTAATTAATTAATAAAAAATGCAGTCATTAAACCTGCAGCTCAACAAGGTTTTAGGAGACATGCTCACTTTCTACACATTCATCTTTCAGTCCAAGTTATGATGCAGGAATGTTCACCTCTCCCGGATTAAGTTTGGAGCGGTGAGGTACGAGGATGTGTGCACATACACACATAAGGAAAGAGACAGCGTGAGTGTCACACACACAGACACGGTCTCTCCGTACAACAGTTTGTTTTTTGTTTTTTAAATGTCGTGATTTTGAACAGATGTAAACAATAGCAGGAGGCTTAAAAGTATAGACGTGATACCAGCTAAATTTAATTATTGTACTAAATTGCAGACAAGTACAGTACGTACTTTAGACTGCTACTCCTCACTCTGTGAAGTAACATGAGGGAGGAAACTAGTTGACGTTAGCTAGTTAATTAGCCATATTATCTGCCTCGGTAGCAAGCCAAATAGTATTTATTTCAACACTGAAACAAACGGCGGGTGGATCTCTGTCTTGATCGTTGGTGAAAGAGGGAGAAAACCAAAGACGACACAGATATATAGTTTATGTTCGACTTGGAAGTATTTATTTAGCGATCGGAGCTAAAACGTCATCTGTACGGAACACCGTTGTGTACGGAAACATGGTTAGTCTACGTTACCCGAAAAATTCCCATACGACAGACTTCGTATTTTTCGACGGGGGAAAAAGTTCCAGGGATTCATCTCCTTCGGCCATCCCACACACAGGTGACTCTCAGGGTGCTTTCACACTAGCACTTTTGGTGCGCACCTGGGTTCGATTGACGTCAGAGTTCGGTACGTTTGGATGATGTGAACGCGGTCTTCCGAACTCAGGTGAGCACCCGTGAGTACCCGAATCTGCTTAAAAAGGGTGGTCTGGGGTACGGTTCAAGTGAACTCCGGTACGGTTCGCTGCTGATGTGAACGCAATCGTACCAAATCACGGAAGTGAACCGCTATTAATGACCTATTATTTGATAAAAATGTGTTTCACCCACTTTCTTGACGAGCGTGACTGACGCACTGCAAGCAGAGAGCTGTATATCTAATTTCTGTTCACCTTCAGAGTACTTTAGAGCATTTGCAGTACATTCGTAAGACAGACGTAAATGCCGTTATGTACTGAAGCTTTGGAAACAAAACCAACGGTTCAAAAACATAAATATAAAATTGAAGAGAGCCTTGCTACGCATTTTGCCGTCTTCTCCTGCGCCATCGTTACTAAGCAACGGGGTAAACAGCTGCTGGCTTGATGATGCAAACGAACCGAAGTTCAGACCCAAATAATATAATGTGAACACAGTCCAGCGGGGGCAGGGGGAGGGGGGAGCAATTGAACCAAGTGTGAAAGCACCCTCACTGACTGCTCGCACCAACCGGAGGGGGAGGGGTCGGGGTCGTGTGACTCGTTATGCTCTTCGCTGCACACAACTGAGGGAGTCCTGCACTTTCCGTCTTTGACAACACGTAAAAAAACTGTGCATTCCGCAGGAACGGTATATCGTAAAATTTTAGCGGTTTTGAAAAAGTGACTTTTCCGAACCGCGGTATACCTTGAAACCGGTTATCGTCCCATGCCTAATATATATATATATATATACTAGTCAGAAGTTTTTGAACAGTAAGATTTTTAATGTTTTTAAAGAATTCTCTTGTGCTCACCAAGCCTGCATTTATTTGATCCAAAATACAGCAAAAACAGTAATATAAAATTTGCATTTTTATCAGGCTCCTAAGTTTAGGTTCAGTCATTTTACTTTAATGGCAATGTATAGGTCCTTTTCTTTGCTATTAAAGTAAAATAAATGAACATAAATATAGGAGCCTGATAAAAATGCTCATTTTAGATGAAAATTTCAGACGGCACTTTGAGGCTTTTGCATCTGAACTCTTCATATATGTGACCCTGGATAAGGGTTAATTTTGAGATTTGATTTGATTTGAATAAATAAGCTTTCCATTGATGTATGGTTTGTTAGAATAGGACAATATTTGGCCGAGATACAACCGAGATTTGTCCAGGGTCACATATGTTTGTATATATAGGAGATCTTCACTTCCAAAACCCTACTGTTGCTTTCAGCAAAGTTTCATTTCTGCTAAGCCTTCACTAATTCTATCGTCCCGTGAGGAATCACGGTCACACGCGAGTATAAGAGAAGAAAGGGACGGGAAATGGAACGAAAGGCTTCACTTCTCATTATCTGTCACCATCAAGTGAGCAGCAAACCCTCCCGCAGCAGCCCGAGGTAAAGCGATACGGCTGGCACTCTTCTGTACGCGCGGGTGGCAGACTGGAGGTCATTAGCACTTTATGTGACATGGGTGTTGTTTTTCACACCTGCTTCCCCAGAGGCAGCGATTGAGACCCCCGTTCATCTCCACAAAGGTGAAGCGTGTAATTTTACTGCCACTACAAAATAACAATTCAATTTCTGCAGGAAATCTGAGTGGTTTGTGCCCAAACTTGATGGTTAAATTATAAACACTAGTACAAATAGCACACTTCAAGTCTGTTCCAATTTATAGCGATTCAACGCACGTTACCCGGACTTCCCTGCTTCGCTGTAACGTGCATGACTACACGCACTGGAGTTCGACTGACTCAGATGGGATCCCACGCAAGGTCTACACTAAAACACAAGTCTTTTGAGACAAACCCTTACACGCTCCTGCAGAGAAACATGAAACTGAGATCAATAAAGTGCATTAAGTGCAGTAATGGAATGTTATTTTTTCTGTTTTTGTCTCTTATGTGAGACTAAACACCCTGGGAATTTTTCAGACGACGTTTGATCTCGACAGTAAACCCGACAAGAAGATTCACAGCACATGTGGTGATGGGAATCTACAGTCATTCATGTGACAGGGAAATACTAAGACACATAGTGTTCAGAAGTTTGGGATTGGTAAGACTATGTTTTGAAAGAAGTCTCTTATGCTCGGTAAGGCTGCATTTATTTATGTAGTACTTATCTAATGCTTCCAGAGCTCAAGGATTACAGACCTATTGCCCTTACGTCTCACATTATGAAGACACTTGAAAGACTGGTCCTTTCAAAGTGTGTACATTCACAGACCCTCTTCAGTTCGCATACCAGCCTAATATAGGTGTTGATGATGCCCTAATCATTATGCTCCAGAGGGTTTACACACATCTGGATAATCCTGGTACAAATGTCAGAATCATGTTTTTTGATTTCTCGAGTGCATTCAACACCATTCAGCCGGAATAGCTGGGTGAGAAGATGAGGAGGATGCAGGTGGAATCGGAGCTTGTTTTCTGGGTGACTGATTATTTAACTGCTGGACCACAGTACGTGCGGCTCCAAAAATGTGTCTCAGAGACTGTTCTGTGTAGTACTGGAGCCCCACAGGGAACTGTCCTGTCACCTTTTCTGTTTAGTCTATACACATCTGACTTTCAACAAAACTCTGATACCTGCTTTCTTCAGAAATACTCGGATGATTCAGCTGTTGTGGGATGTATCATGGATGGTTGTGAGGAAGAATTCAGAAGTACAATCAAGGAATTGTGGACTGGTGTAATAATAACAATCTGAGGCTTAATATCTCCAAGACCAAAGAAATGGTCATTGATTTTAGGAGGAAGAGGCCCAAACCAGATCCAGTCTCTGAAAGAAGTCTCTTATGCTCGGTAAGGCTGCATTTATTTATGTAGTACTTATCTAATGCTTCCAGAGCTCAAGGATTACAGACCTATTGCCCTTACGTCTCACATTATGAAGACACTTGAAAGACTGGTCCTTTCAAAGTGTGTACATTCACAGACCCTCTTCAGTTCGCATACCAGCCTAATATAGGTGTTGATGATGCCCTAATCATTATGCTCCAGAGGGTTTACACACATCTGGATAATCCTGGTACAAATGTCAGAATCATGTTTTTTGATTTCTCGAGTGCATTCAACACCATTCAGCCGGAATAGCTGGGTGAGAAGATGAGGAGGATGCAGGTGGAATCGGAGCTTGTTTTCTGGGTGACTGATTATTTAACTGCTGGACCACAGTACGTGCGGCTCCAAAAATGTGTCTCAGAGACTGTTCTGTGTAGTACTGGAGCCCCACAGGGAACTGTCCTGTCACCTTTTCTGTTAAGTCTATACACATCTGACTTTCAACTAAACTCTGATACCTGCTTTCTTCAGAAATACTCGGATGATTCAGCTGTTGTGGGATGTATCATGGATGGTTGTGAGGAAGAATTCAGAAGTACAATCAAGGAATTGTGGACTGGTGTAATAATAACCATCTGAGGCTTAATATCTCCAAGACCAAAGAAATGGTCATTGATTTTAGGAGGAAGAGGCCCAAACCAGATCCAGTCTCTATTTTGGGAACAGAAGTGGACCTGGTCTCCAACTATAAGCACCTTGGGGTACAGCTAAACTGGACTGATCCAGCCACATGGAAGCCTTATACAAAAAAGGTCAAAGCAGGTTGTGTGCTGGGGGTTGGGCGCATGCACATCTGACAGGAACAGACTAAATAAATTGATCAAAAAGGCAAGCTCTATTATTGGCATCACACAGGACTGGGTTGAGCAGGTTGTGGAGATAAGGATGCTGAGAAAAATAAATGTTATTATGAACAATGACTCGCACCCATTACATGCTTTTAGAGGTGTTTCGGCAGAGTACATTTAGTGGCAGAGTGATCCCTCCAATATGTAAGACTGAACGGCATCGTAAATCATTCCTGCCTGCTGCTATCAGGCTTTTTAATGTGCAATAACTGTAATGCATTTTATTGGGTAATGTGCTTTTTTTTTAGTGTAAGATTCTTTTTTAGGTGTGTACTTGGGTAGATATGTCTGTGTGCATGGATTAAATTGAGGTTACTGCTGTAACAATATAATTTTCTGTGAAGGATTAATAAAGTATTTAATAATAATTTGATTAAAAATACAGCAAAAACAGTAAAATTAAGAAATATTGTTACAATTTAAAATAAGTGTTTTCTATGTGAATATATTGTAAAATGTAATTTATTCCTGTGATCAAAGCTGAATTTTCAGCATCATTACTCCAGTCTTCAGTGTCACATGATCCTTCAGAAATCCTTCTAATACAGTTGTGCTGCTTCATATTTTTGTGGAAACCCTGATAGATTTTATTTTTCAGGATTCTTTGCTGAATAGAAAGTTCAAAAGAACAGCAGTTAAATGAAAGTTTAAAATATAACGTTTTGTAACATTTGCATGCCTTTACTGTCACTTTTGATCAATTTAATGCATCCTTGTTGAACAAAAGTATTAATTTCTTTCAAAAAAAGAATATAACCAGACAAAAAGTAATGACTGGGCTTTCCATTCATATGACACGAGGTCTATATTTAACATTCAAGAAATCTTCAAGAAACACTTCCTTGTAAAGATGATAATGAAGCATTATTGAGAGGGCGGGAATGGAACGTCTCTATGTATGAAATAAAATATAATTCCGGCTATATGCCAAACTCATTCACACTTCCACTCAAAGTTAGGAAATCAATGGGTGACTGGAGCTGTTATTGATCGACCCTTAACATGATATTGGCTGATTTTCTCCCTCAGAAACCAGACGACTATCTGAAAGCGTGTTGACATGGGAAAAACAACTCGACATATGGTGTTTCTGAGACCAAGTGCATGGTGATTTTTAGTCACGTGACCATGCATTATTTGCATGAACACTTCCTGCACTGTTGTGTTGCAGATATATTTGGGTTGTGAGAAACTGTTACTTCACTTATTCTTAAGGCATCTTTACACAGCGAGTTAAGGCTGCTTAAAATTCAGTGCAAAGACACAATGCTGCATTAAAGCCAGACTAAATGATGCCTGTTCCGACCAACAAAGCATACAGCATATCGAAGTGCTAAAGAATCAGTCGCTGAAAAACCCATATTGACTCTGAACATTAGAACAATAAATGTTGCTTACTGTTATAAAACATCAGCAAAAGTACTATAATAAAAGACTCTATGCATTAGGGCTGCACTATTAATCTCAATAAAAACCATAATCATGAAAATAGGGAAATTAAGACGTTTGAACTTTACAGATGCAAGGTAAAATACAATTGTTATTATTATTATATTTTCTTAAATACTCTCTATGATTATTTTACAGTGAAATATCACAATAGCAATATTTCTTTATTATTGTAGTTACAATTTTATTATTGTAGTTTTATTTAATATTCGTAGTAGTAGTAGTTGTAGTATACCATTAGAAGTAGTAGTAGTAATAATAATATCTTTATTGATTCTTTTTTTAATATTAATTATTATTTTATAGACATATTAATACAGTAGTCAACATTTGAAGTGGATCAAAACCTTTCATCAAAGCTGTCCTAAAACCTAAAACCAAAATGCGTTCTTGTCTTAGGACAACTTTGATGAACCTTTTTGATCCACTTCAAATGTTTACTACTGTATATATTCACCAAATTCTGGATTATTTGTGCAGCTCTACAAACAAGCGCAATTGCATTTTAAAAAATTGCAGTATTTATCCAAAAATTCGACAAGCGCAGCTCACCCAATCAGATTTGAGCTCTTTAATACTCACCCCCTGCTCGTCCAGTTTGAGGAGCTGCTCCGGGACTCTGGGTGAGCTGATGGCCAGTCGAAGGCACTGGATGTTCAGCTCAGGAACCACGTACTCCAGCACCTCCTTCAGCGGGAGACCGCGGGCCGTCCCGTGCCTCGCCGTGGAGGGCACAGCGTCCTCCAGAATCGCCCCGCGCAGGGTAGTTAACTGAGGGAAAGAGAGAGCAGAGCTGTTAGTACGCTGGACAGGAATTAAACATCACATGCATTAAACAGCAAAGACATTTTCCTGCCTCAAACAATCAAAATCCCATGACAAGGCAGTAGTCTGGTCAATATATCAGTCCAGTTTTTGACCTCAAGTACTAAATCCTGTCAGTCTATGAGAAAACTCAATACTTTCAATAAAAAAAAATACATAGATCCATTGGGATATTAAGTCATTGGCAATGAAATTCAGTCATTGGCAATGAAATTCTCCCTCCCTGCAGGAGATTTGATGGCACGCTCTTGTCTGAAAGGAAGTAATTGAGTCTTGACCCTTTTATCTGCACTTTCACTTATAAAGTAAAAGGCTTTTATGCTGAATGCTGATTTGAAGCACTAGCATCTCTTTAAATCTCATTCTGACGTTTTGATTCATGTGAGTGTCTAGGCTTCATAATTCAGCTTAATTGTGAATGAGTTCCACTAGAAGCTAAAGATCAAAGCCTAAGGTTTAATGCGACGATACATTTGATAAGAGAGAAGAACTAATGCTGACAATATTTGCATCTACTGTCCTCGAAAATAATAAGAATAAGCATATTTCACCTCATAAAATTTTTTTTATATTTTGCATAAAGAAAATGAAGCTCATTTTAGGTCTATTATTTTTATTACATTTTAATTTCACTAAAGATTATCCATCTTAAATAAATAAATAAATATTTTTATATTAATATTATAATTAGAATATTATTTTACCATTTATATTTTGAAAATTAAGTTTATTTTAGGACCATTACTATTTTTGCATTTTCATGACAATTAAGACCATCTTTACAAACAATAAACAAACAAATAAACATTTCACCTCATAAAAAGGAAAAAAAGGTAATTCTATTTTTTATAAAGTTAATCAAGTTTAATTTAGGTCTATTAAGATTTTATCCATTTTTATCAAAAAATTGTATCAATGTTTTTTTTAATAAAATTAAATGTCATTGAAGATGATCCATCCTGAATGAATGAATATATTTTAGGACCTTCAAAATGTTTGCAACTTTGCATTGTAAGAAAGTGAATTAATTAATTAAATACAGTTATTAGCAACTGATTTCTATTTGTCCTCCTAAGGATGACATATTTTGATATATTTTAATATAAATAATATCATTGAATATATTTTATAGCTTGTAAGTTTGAAAGAAGGAGAGTTTTACCTCCTTATAATAATTCAATGCTAAATATTAGCAGGTAAAACTTGAATTTAAGTTCAAGTTCAATAGTTTCCATGTTCATTTATTCATTATATCTAAAAAAAACTTTAACCCTTTAACTGTCACTCACATTTTTGAACATGTGAGTGACAGTTAAAAGTCGTGAAAGTGCACAATCCAAACTTATTTTTTTTTATAATTCATGAACGAAAACATTTTGTAACATGATATTGATGTACCATTTTCATGGTAATGCAATGTTTGATTTTAAAATGGGTTTCAAAGGATGAATTTTGAGATTTAAAGTTGATATATAATTTCTGATCATTCTAAAGTGTGATAGAGAAAAAGGCAATGAAGAAGACTTTTTGCTACAAAGGTCAGAACTCCTGTTATGATGTAGATTTTTGAGGTGCACTCTTGTCATAAATTAATCTATTACTTTTCCTACATAATTGTTAACAAAAACATTGGTAAAATATCTATTTAGGAGTCTTAGACCTTTCTAACGATATATAGTTTGTCATGATTAGATTAGGATTTAATTGTAATATAGTGAAGTAAACTTAGGCGTCCCACAGAGGGGACGGGTGACAGTTAAAGGGTTAAACATTTTTCAAATTTTATTGCAATTTGGGATGTCAATCAATTAATTTTAAAGTTAATTAATTGTATGATAGGCTGATCAATTAAACAAATGCAATCTATTATTATTTGTTGAGTAATTCATCAGGTACCTGACTCGTCCTGAAGGTAATGCGGTAGTTATACTGCGCTGCCTCCTTGTCTTTCCCGTCATCCAGCTTTTCTCTCCGTACGCTGATGGCCACCGGACCCAAGTTCTCATCCACGCCGAAGTAGTTCTGGTGCTCTGAGGTTAACCACAGGACAGATGTGAGGTCAGGTTCTAGAAGGACAGATAACACTTTCCAAGAACACCCTACAAAGTGAGCAGGACAGGAAGAGGGGCCATTCACAGCCGCTCAAGTGCTGCTTATCTGAGACGCCAGATTCTATATCTATCTTAACCAACACCAGAGCGCTCTTTGACATGTAGACATGAGAACTGTGGCAATGTCTCCAAGATGCTTCGGGAAGCCTACCTGCAACGCTACTGTACTGTTAAAAGTTTTAGGCACTTGTGTCTTTATCAATGCTTTATCAATCAACTTCTATTATCTAAATGAAATCAACATTTGGTGTGAGCATCCTTTGCTTTTAAAGCAACTTTTGCCCTCGGTGCACTTGTTTTAGGTGCACAATAGTTTCTCAGGCAGCTTTGCAGGTAGGTTTCTTGAAGCATCTTGGAGACATTGTTCTTCTGGATTGAGTCTGTCTCAGTTTCTTCTGTTTCTTCATGTTACTCCAGACAGACTGATGATGATCAGATCAGATCTCTGTGTGGAGCTCTGGCTGTTTAAAATCTCACTGGATTATTACAATTAATAGCAAAATGAATGTTTGGAAATGTAAACTGGTATTTCCTACTGACACACAGTACAGCAAAAGATAACTGACTTAAACCATTTTTAGCTGGTGAAAATACTAGTGTTCTAATCATTTTGTTCACCGCTGTAATGCTTTACATTAACTAGTGTTGGACGATGTCTACAGCAAAACATCGTGATGGACGATGACATCGGTCGGGGTTAGGGGTGTGCCCGAAGCATGAAACAAATAACGCATTATACGGAGCCACTAAAAGGTTAGCCGCTTGCTAGCGGTAGCCTGTTGCATTACAGTACATGAAAGTTCACTTACCACAGAGTAAGGAGAAATGTCTGATAGGACGATGGCGAATGATTTGCAGATCCTGAGCACAAATGACAAACATCTAATCTTGTCAAATGTGTGGTAAGTACTGCCGCTCCATAGAGTCCTTGTGATCGCGAATCTCGAAAGTGAGAGTAAAATGAGAGCGCGCAATCGAAAGCGGTTTTGATGCCCGCAATTTATATACAGTCGCCTATACTTACCCAATGATATAATTGCGAGAAAGTATTGAAATATTTTTTTATTGTCCCATCTCGTAGGTTATTTAATCACTTTAGGGTTTCAGTACACTTCATTTCCTTTCCGAACACGGAACTGGGATGCGGCGGATTGCGGGAGAAGGGGTGGTGGGTGGTGGGGGGGGGATCACGATGTCAGCTTAACATTGTGATGTCTGTCAGCCATCGTCTATCGGCCCAACTAGGGATGTAACGATTACCGGTTTTACGATAAATCACGATAAAATTCCCTGACGGTTAGTATTACCGTTTAAAATTTAATTATCATCAAAACCGTGTTTGATTATCGCAATTTTGAAAACTCGCGGTAAATCCTGTCCAGCCAACATCAGTCTGACGCAGAAGCAGCGTGCAGTGTTGTTGTTGTTGTTGTTGTTGTTGTTTTTTTTTGCACGAGACGAAATGTCGGAAGGCAGTGACAGCGCTCGGGAGATTTTTCAGCCATCTAAGAGAACCAAATCGGTGGTCTGGTCGTATTTGGGCTTTTACAAGAGTCCTGAAGGCAGTTTAATGGAGGACGGTCACCCTGTCTGCCGATCTTGCAAGAAGAAAGTCGCTGCAAAAGCGGGAAACGCATCATATTTGCTCCGTCATCTTCGTGAGCACCTCCCACTGTTATATAGCGAATGCAAGGTAAGGTTTACCTCAATACCAAAACTAACTGGGAAAATAATTGGACTAAAAATATTGATTAGAGATTAAATATTTCGTTATCTCGCTTGTTTAACGCAAAGCTTCCGCGAAGAAAAGTTCTCAGCAAGTGGCTTTGAGCCAAGATGAACGTACGTTCAAACTATCAGGTTGACATTTAGAGGATAATGTATTGTATATTCATAGTTAACTTATTACATTAATTTTTTTTGTTTACCTAAAATAATATATAAATACGGGGATATGAAATATTGAATTGAGATTAATGTTTTGAAATCTTACCCGTTTATAAATCCATTATGAACAGCGTACAAAACAATCGTCAGGACAATATGATCACGACAGCAAAATTATAGTAGTATTAATACTAAATTCCTCTGATTTCATTTTCAATACAATCAAAAACTGAGACGGCAAGCTGCATTTGAATGAAACGAGAGAGCGCGTCTGTGCCTCTGCAGTGATGCAAGAGACATGCGGCGACTTCCAAACACAAGTGAGCATCCCTATGCCCTACTCCCTTCGCAGAGCCCTTGAGGTGTGTTCTTTGAAGGGTGCAGGGCATTACTGTCTCGTAGAAGCGTCTGAAACTCTCTCGTGTGTGTGTGTGTGTGTGTGTGTGTGTAGAATTCAGATGCACAATCTGCACAAAGTTTGTCTGAGATTTTTCTTTTAAATAAGCATTTTTATCAGTGGCCTGTGTTTAGGTTCAGTAATTTCATTTTAATGGCAAATAAAAGGTTATTGGTCAGTTATTGAATGCCTTAATTTCAAAAATGTCCAATGTTATTTTCATAGGAGCCTGATAAAAATGCTCATTATAAATCATTATATTATAAATGAATTGTTTTTGCAAATGGAGATGAGGTTTTGTCATATTAGTTCATATGTGGGGTCAGATTAAACAAACTAAACCCACACTTACACAGTCACTTTGTTTGAGAACATACCAAAGACGTCTTGTATATAAAGCTGATTATAATTATTATACTACATGTCTTGGAAGAGAGGTTTTGTTACTAGCTCAATTATGGGGACAAATTGTAAAGCTAAGTACACAGCTCAGTAAAGACGCACACATAACTGCTGCTGTTGCTTAGCCAGTGTGTAATTTCCTGAACGACAGCAGTTTTGCTCCTGATGTGATGACGGACAGGAGGAAGGTTGATGTGTTTCTCTCTCTTCAGGGCGGCGGGCTGAGGTTGATTGACAGCAGCTCTGGGGTCGCGGTGTATCCGTTCTCCACAGCTGAGCGCAGGATAGATCTCCTGCCAGAGAGCTTTCAGCATCAGGCTGTCAGTAAGAGAGACTTCCACAGCGTCCTCAACAACATCCAGCGTCTGCTGCTCCGGGCCTCCTACACTCAGGAACACAGCGCCATCTACAGGTGCACTGCAGCGTCGCAGGCACACACACACACACACACACACACACACACACACACTCAAACCACAGGTCAGGATTTAGTGGACTGTGATCCAGAGCCAGAGCACAGATTGGTTCCATCCAGAATTCAAATAATTTATCATAAATTGGAATTCTGAACATTTTCTTCATTTGTCTGTAGACTGTGAAGGCAACACGGAAGCTGCTGCAACATGCATGCAACATATTTAAAATGTATATATACAGTGGTGGCCAAATGATTAGAACACTAGTATTTTCACCAGTTAAAAAATGGTTTTAAGTCAGTTAATTCAATTTTTGCTGTAGTGTGTCAGTAGGAAATATCAGTTTACATTTCCAAACATTCATTTTGCTATTAATTGTAATAATCCAGTGAGATTTTTGTGCTCCCACACAGAGATCTGATCTGATCATCATCAGTCTGTCTGGATTCATGACATGAAGAAACAGAACAAACTGAGACAGACTCAATCCAGAAGAACTGTGGAGAACGTCTCTAAGACGCTTCGAGAAACCTCCTGAGAAACTCTGCTCAAGTGCACCGAGGGCAAAAGCTGCTTTAAACGCAAAGCATGCTCACACCAAATGTTGATTTAATTTAGTTAATAGAAGTTCATTGATAAAGAAAATCTATTTATGGCATTATTTTTGACAGCATCCTCATTTTACAGCATTTTTACACAAGTGCCTAAAACTTTTAACAGCACTGTAGCTTTGCAAGAAGGTTTCTTGAAGCGTCTCGGAGACGTTGTTCTTCTGGATTGAGTCTGTCTCAGTTTGTTCTGTTTCTTCATGTTACTCCAGACAGACTGATGATGATCAGATCAGATCTCTGTGTGGAGCACTGGCTTCTGGCTGTTTAAAATCTCACTGGATTATTACAATTAATAGCAAAATGAATGTTTGGAAATGTAAACTGGTATTTCCTACTGACACACAGTACAGCAAAAGATAACTGACTTAAACCATTTTTAGCTGGTGAAAATACTAGTGTTCTAATCATTTTGTTCACCGCTGTAATGCTTTACATTAACTAGTGTTGGACGATGTCTACAGCAAAACATCGTGATGGACGATGACATCGGTCGGGGTTAGGGGTGTGCCCGAAGCATGAAACAAATAACGCATTATACGGAGCCACACATGAAAGTTCACTTACCACGGAGTAAGGAGAAATGTCTGATAGGACGATGGCGAATGATTTGCAGATCCTGAGCACAAATGACAAACATCTAATCTTGTCAAATGTGTGGTAAGTACTGCCGCTCCATAGAGTCCTTGTGATCGCGAATCTCGAAAGTGAGAGTAAAATGAGAGCGCGCAATCGAAAGCGGTTTTGATGCCCGCAATTTATATACAGTCGCCTATACTTACCCAATGATATAATTGCGAGAAAAAGTATTGAAATATTTTTTTATTGTCCCATCTCGTAGGTTATTTAATCACTTTAGGGTTTCAGTACACTTCATTTCCTTTCCGAACACGGAACTGGGATGCGGCGGATTGCGGGAGAAAAATCTCACTGGATTATTACAATTAATAGCAAAATGAATGTTTGGAAATGTAAACTGGTATTTCCTACTGACACACAGTACAGCAAAAGATAACTGACTTAAACCATTTTTAGCTGGTGAAAATACTAGTGTTCTAATCATTTTGTTCACCGCTGTAATGCTTTACATTAACTAGTGTTGGACGATGTCTACAGCAAAACATCGTGATGGACGATGACATCGGTCGGGGTTAGGGGTGTGCCCGAAGCATGAAACAAATAACGCATTATACGGAGCCACTAAAAGGT